TATTTGTTAATAATATTAGTATTGGTTTATTAAACCATTTTCTGCGGACATTGTATTCATATAAATAGGTGTCGACTATTAGACCAATTCTATACAAATCATTTGCCGCTGATTTGTATGCGATATGAGGGGGCAATAACTTGTTTGTATCAATATTTGGCATTTTTACAATTAATATAGTTTTAATAAATTAGTGTAAATTCACTTTTTTGTAGAAATTTTGTATTTTAAAAATAAAATAATTATTTATTTATTATAATAAATGTATACGTGATGTATATACAATGATTATCTTATTATTAAGTAAATAAGTTAATCATTTTTAAGGGAAACTCACTTATATTATTATTATTACTATTGTATTTTCTATTATATTAATTGACTTATTTAGTTAATAGCTATTAATATTACGCATATTTCTAATAACCGCAATATTAAAGAAAACAAAATTAATAGATAAAGTAAATATTATTTTTAATTAGCCAGAAATTTATATTAACAATTAAAGTAATAATTGAATAAAAGCTGTTCCTTGTCTTAAAGTCTGTTTCAATATTTACTTTAAATTATAAATGATGTTTGTTGTAGGATATGAGTTACTGTAATTTTATTTGTTTTTTGGTAATTAACAACTTAATGAAAATATTAATGTTAATACATAAATGCAAATAATATTATGCCATTGAATATATTTAGTGAATGAAATAAGTTTCAAAACTTGATACATAATAAATCAGATTAAATAAAATTATATTATATTGATCTGACCCGTTGAGTAATTTATTAGGAAATTAATTTTTAATGAACAGGCTAATTAGCCTAAGAAATAAAATTAATTAAATATTAATAATGTTATGACTAAATATTATATCATTAAAGTATACAAATGTAACTAATATTAGATTTAATAGTCTTTTTGAACTTAATAAAATAAAATATTAGGAATAGAAATATTAGGTAATAATAAAATATATTCATTAACACCTAGGTTTATTAAGTCATGTAAATGTACTGTAATATTTAAGTATACATTCTTACATGATAGTACATTACATTTACAACACAACAATTATTTTATAAAATAAAATGTCTGAATTCAAGTATAAGTCATTGTTTGTCAAACAAAAAGACATTTCTAATCCTTTGTATATATATTGGATATTTTATAGAAATTACAATAATGGTTCAACACAACAATTATTTTATAAAATAAAATGTCTGAATTCAAGTATAAGTCATTGTTTGTCAAACAAAAAGACATTTCTAATCCTTTGTATATATATTGGATATTTTATAGAAATTACAATAATGGTAGTGTATTACCAGGGCAAATGCTTAAGGTTTTTACAGTTATTGCTATAAACATTATGAATGTAATTCGTTGTGCATATTATTTATACAAAAGTGAACCAAACAAAATGTTGCCTGCTTATTTCATGGATTTGTTTCAATATATATTCCCTTCAAAAGAGTATTTTTACATACTTTGCATTATTTTATGTAATTTAAGCGTAATATTAATCATTGCATTAAACACTAATAAACATCACAATAAATGGTTTGACATAATTTTGGGCATTAATGGTAACAAAACATTTAAATCAATTGGTTTACGCGATAAGTATTTGATTAATAAATATATTATGAAAATGAGATTATTTAGTATTTTATTAAATACCACATTAAATATATTTTTAATTTCATTAACCATTTCAACAATCATTATTGTAGTATATTATTATAAATTTATAAATGTACTAATTCATGCTATAATATGTGCATTTCTATTCGTACTATTAAACTTCACATATTTACCAGTTATTATTATAACAATTTTTTATTATTTAATGGTTTGTTATTATGTTAAATATTACATCAAAGGTTTTGACAATTATTTGTCTAAATATATATCAAATAACTTTTTAGTCAAACGAAAAATATTCACAAAAGTTGTTATAAAACACAATAGACTTTGTCTGGACATTGAATTATACAATAGATTTTGGCGCATTATTAATTTTGTTGTATTTTATACCTTGATACCAGTCAATGCATTGGTAGTACATTTGCTTATATTTGAAAAGTCAGTAATTACTACAAAAATGTTGTATTCATTATACTTGACATCTACACTATTATCGCTATTTTCCCTCAATATAATCACATCTGATATTAATTATGAAATTTCTAAAACTTACAAAACTTTATACAAATTTATTATTTGTTTCGACGGATTGGCAAAATTGAAACATAAATTTAAAGTTAATAAATGTTTATTATGTACAGTACATTGATGAATTATTTAATTTGAAATCATTTGTTTTGACAGTTAATGGTATGTCTGGAGAGAGTGAGTGATAGAAACCAATTGATTGGATTCACTTGCGGTGATCAATACGTTATCACCAGAAGTATTGCATTCAAAGTATGTTTTCACTTCATTTTATACTATATTTTTAAAATGCATTTTATTTTACAGACATTTATGGTGTTTATCCGGTTCCTACTATTAAGTCATAAATTACTAAACGTTAAATTAAGTTAAAATAATTTGTAGTTTAATCGTTTCAACTTAAAATAGATTTTAATAACAAACTATTATTTCTAAATGAAATTCATGTTAATTAACTATTTAAATAAACTTTTATTTAATTACAAAGGTCAATTACACCATAATATTAACTTAAATGATATGTTTAGAAATATTTTTGTGATATTATTTATCAGTTATTATTTAATATCCATAATTATTACTATGGTAGAGATATATTTTTAGTATAATCATTGTTATTAAATACTCTATAATTATAATTATTTATTACAGTAAAATAATTGGAAATAAAATGTAAAAGTATTATTATTTATTCAATCAATAAAATGACTTGTTAACATTATTATTATGCTCTTGTTGTGGTACAGTAGTAATTTGAGTGTTGGTAGGTTCGGGCATATAGGCTGGATTACTATGGATATAGGTAACAGTAGGCTGGGACCCCTCACCAGGAATACCCTTATGTTTTACCACATATAAGACAATGCCTAAGATTATAAGGGCACCGATAGGTACCAGTGCTTTGAATAGTGGGTTGGGCCGGTCGGGTGATGGCTTCATGTCATCGACATCTGTAGCCTTTTTGGAGCCCTGTTTGGGAAGGAAACGCCAATTAAACTCCGAGTAATCGCTTTTGACATCCGGTATGAAGCACTTGATAGTGCCGTTCACGTCGGCGTCGCCATTCGGGTGCTCAGCGCTGTCTGTCCATACAAATCGCTATTTAGTCTATTATGGGTTCATTGAAAAATAATTGCCCCTGGTTATGATTAAACTGAGAATTTTAACTTAATAGCTTGTATTAAGTGTAATAGTTATAATTAATGTATGATTTATTAATAATAACTTTTACCATTAATAATAATCTATTAATTCCTATAAACATACAGTACCTGTATAATTTTTACAATATCATTACTGAATTTTGTGAACCTGGGGCAGCTATTAAACTTAATTGATCATTGTATACGTACAGCAATCTCTATTATAAATCTGGTAAAAGCCTTCATCTGTATGTGATTTGCCAATCTTAACGGTATGACTCCAGAAGTGGTGATACATTTTATACCACCCTTTGTCCAGTTTATGAAATATATGCCAAAACTTGGGTTTATTATAATCCAGATCCTCGGCCTGAGTGCCCGCTTTGCCAAACCATATCAAGTACTTACTGGTCCTCTGATTCTGTATGGCATAGTAGGTGTGAGTCATTATCGGCAACTCCTCCCCGGTATTTCTGTCTATTATGGGCTCCGGGACCACTGGAAAGGCATGTCATTAGAATAATGTAGAGTTTGTAAGTATGTAATTATTAAATTAATTTAATACATGCATATAAGTTTTAATTTATAGATTATTGTGCGTTTAAATTATATATACAGGTACTATTGATATGTTTACAATGATAAATATATAAACTCACCCTTTTTATTTTTCTCTTCACATTTTACTAGATTACAAATAATAATGAAATATAAAGCTAATGTAAATATTTCTTGAAATTTATAAAATCTTAACATTACTTTCATAAACAGCTTAGGAAACACAAATTTTTATAATTTTACATAACTATGCTAAACTTCGAGTAGATTTAATGCATTTGCCAGTAAAGTAAACACTTATTTAGATTAATTTACGCAATATGTTAACTAAAACTTTGTAAAACAAAGCAATAGTAAAACGGATCAATTAACAATGTGTATTCAGGAGTATAATTAATATATAATATACGAAAAATAGTTCAATTAGTCACGAATATAAAATAAATATAATGTACTCATGAATTTAGAAAATTTAATATGACCTAAAAATAATAATGTTAAAATTATGCACAATTAATTAGTAATAAATAAATAAATTTACCAAAATTACTAAAAACTTAAATGAATTAATAAACTATTTTTTTAATATGTTGAATAATTTATCAAATAAAGCATATTATATTAATTATATAATTTAGAGAGAGAGAGAGAGAGAGAGAGCGTTTGTTTAATGATTTATAGTTTTTATTGAATTATATTATTGTTGAGAATATGGATCATAATTTAAAAGAAATAATTTATTTTTTGGGTCGGGCCGTAAACTTCCAGTTATAATTGGTGTCGTCCTGACCCGGTGTAGGCATATCGCACCAGATATAACCATTTGAATTATAATCACTATTCGGGTGCGACGAGCCATTAGCTAGGTTCAATCAAATCGATATTAACTGTAATCATGATTACATTAATTCATTCTTTTATTAACAACTCTTACCTTCGGGACAGTCCTTATTATAAAACCTGTAGTACCCGCTAACCGGGGCAGTGGACACGTGTACAACATGTACGGCACCGGCACCGTGAATCATACGATAGTAGGCAGGTGTGGGTGACGTGAGAAATGTGAAGTTATGATACCACGTGTTATTCTTGGGATCGGGTGGACCATTGACAGCACCGAACGTTGGACTCCATATCAGATAACGGCCCGTCTTTTGGTTTTGTAGCGAATAATCCGTTAATGTCTTAATCGGAAGCTTTTTATTAGTGTTGATATCAATGATACCATCCTTTTGTAGGCCTATCCAAACGGAAGGTTAGTTTAAATATACTAAATGTTAAATTGATTAATTTGAAAATATTTTTATGAATGTGTACCTTGCTCAGTTGAATAAAATAAAATAACAAAAAATAATGCACTTGTTGTAAGCATAACATATAAGTTAAACATGTTGCGGTTGATCAAATTAAATAATGTATTATTTTTCTAGGTGTAACAGTTTTAATACCTGTTGCTATTAATTAGTGTTTATATTTTGGTACATTAAGATCACAAAAATGGTAAATTATTTTATATTATTTGTATTGTTTTGAAAAGTGTAATTAGGATCATTATATAGTTTATTTTTATGTAATTATTTATTATGTATTTCGTGACAATTTTATTTGCGTTGAATCAGTTCAGTTAAATGCATCTCGCAAATGGAAATCTCCAGTTTTATATTGAACACAATTAAATTGTGTTTCACCAAGGACAGATTGGCTAAACATATTGTGTTGCAATTACTTGATAAATGTGAAATTAATTAGATAAGAATTTCACAATTAATAAATATTTCAAAAAATAATATATGAGGTAGTAATTATAATAATCAAACATGAACACACGTAGAATCTGTTTGCTTATGTACGAAATGAATATAAATTTCATAAATAAATTTAATTAAATGTTATATAGACAATACACTATTGTTATATTTGCAAAGTTGATTTTTTATAATTATAATTTCAGTATAATTTCGTCTAAACTTTCTATCATTTTATTATCTTATAACAGATATAACATATAAACACTTTAAATCCGTGAATTCAATGCTTAGGTCGGGCCGTAAACTTCCAGTTATAATTGGTGTCGTCCTGACCCGGTGTAGGCATATCGCACCAGATATAACCATTTGAATTATAATCACTGTTTGGGTGCGAGGAGCCGTTAGCTAGGTTCAATCAAATTGATATTAACTATAATTATAACATTAATTCATTTTTTATTAATAACTCTTACCTTCGGGACAGTCCTTATTATAAAACCTGTAGTACCCGCTAACCGGGGCAGTGGACACGTGTACGACATGTACCGCACCGACACCATGAATCATACGATAGTAGGAAGGTGTGGGCGTGGTGAGAAAGGTGAAGTTATGCCACCATGTGTCATTCTTGGGATCGGGTGGACCATTGACAGCACCGGCGTTTGGACCCCATATCAGATAACGACCCGTCTTTTGGTTTTGTAGCGAATAATCCGTATATGTCTTAATCGGAAGCTTTTTACTAGTGTTGATATCAATGATGCCAACCTTTTGTAGGGCTATGGGAACGGGAGGTCAGGTTTAGAAAGCGATAAATTTATTTATGATGATTTAATAAAACTATACCTTGCTCGCTAGTATAGAATAAAATAAATAGTAATGAGGCACTTGTTGTAAATATAAAGCATATGTTAAACATTTTTAGTTTTAAAGTCCTAGAGTAAATGAATATATAAAAATTATTTCTAATTCATTTAACCGTTCATATCATGTCTTTAAATACTTATTATTATAATATATAAGTGCTATACATATGTAATGTATAAGCATAAAGTATATTTTGTACCATAATTTTTTGTATTGATTAGGTACGTAACATTGGTTAGTTGAATTAGTTTAGTTTAGTACATTATTAGTGCACAAAGTTTATTTTTTAGAAAAATACAAAACCTGCATGAAAACTCTGCTATGCTGTGCTAAACAGTGGTTATACAGTTTTATAAAAACAGAGGTAATAGTATTGGTTTTGTATATATCTAAAAGCTATGAAAGCTTTCGTGACAGTAGAGTAAATGCGGATCACATTTACTCTACTCGTGACAATTTTATTTACTAAATCTGTACTTAATATACTGTACTTTAACATGTATGATAATCAGTTTAATTAAACGTATTCATCTATAAGAATTTTCTAGATTTTTTGTATAGTACTTTATTGTACGGTACATTGTATCAAGGACTCAAGGTGTGTGAGAATAAGTAATTTAGGGCATATTGATGTCACGTATTTGCATATTTCACAATTAATTAATTCATGAAAAAGGGTACAATACTAAAATTACTTGTCAAATAAAATATACTACTTTATTTATAATCATGAGTTTAAATACAATATACAATAGACACTGTATTTATTATGTATTACTAGTATAAGGTTTTTCACTGAACTTCCAATGAAACTCCTGGTGATCGCCCTCGGTTTTAGGCTCCAGGCAACTTATATTGCCAAACTCATCCGAGTCACTATTCGGATTATCGCCGTTATCTAATATTGTGCAAGTAAAACATTATTACTAAATAAAATAACATTTTATGCATACTTACAGCAATTTTTATTATAGATCTGATAATAGCCGTCCTCATGAGCTTTGGATAGTTTTACGATATGACTACCGAAATAGTGGTTCATTTTATACCAGTGCTCCGTCTGGTTGGCAATGAGGGTGAATGTGTGCCAAAAGCGACCTTGCTTACTATCGGGTGCGTCGGTCACTGTGCCATTCTTGCCAAACCATATCAAGTACTTCTGGGTCTTGTGGTTCTGTATCGAGTAATAGGTATTGGATTTTATGGGCATCTCTTCGCCCGTGTTTTTGTCGACCAGACTCACGGACTTGACTGTCGAGAAAATATTAAGCAAGGTATATTGATACACGCATTAATAATAATTATGATTTTGTATGGATTTCGAAATTACCTTGCCCCTTAATTCGATGGGTTAGTGAAAGTAGTATTAATACTTGTGCACATATTAATATAGTAAATTTAGGCATTATTATTTTGTGTTAATGTTTTACAATTATTCTGTAGAGAGTAGTGCAAAATCAACGTAAAAGTGTTTAAATACTGTAGTCACTTGATATTTATTCAGATCATCATTTTGTAAAATAATAAAATGTAATTATCATTATATTTAAAACAATTGAATTTATAGCACTAACCTGTGAATGAACCTCTAATTAATGAACTGCAGTATTGTTTATTCATATTTTGATTAGTAATAATACATTACATACATTAATACATTACAAGTAATTTACGATTATTAAAACAAAGAATTGATGTTATTAACATTAATAAATAATTATTCAGATAATAATTTTATTTTTAAAAATAAAATTTTGTTGATGTTTGTTTAATTCTATGTTTTACGAACAATTAAAATACTGTTTACTAATATTAATAAGTATTTTAAATATTTTATCTTCATGTAAAACATAAAAATATTTGAATAATTTCTATTGATTATTTACTGGATTTAATAATAAAAATATAAATTATCTACATATCAAATTATTTACAAATAAACACAGTATTGCTCCAATATATTGTAATGTAACAGAGTTTATTTAATTCTAGTTTTGTGGGGAAAATAAATTTTGCAATAAATTATTTTATATTTTATTAATTGAATATAAGCTTGTTCGCGTAGGAATTATTTTATTAGTATAGAAATTTATTTATTTTGTAATTATCATAGGTTTTTTCAAAAGTATAAAAATCTTAATTATATAAAGTAAAAACATTATCCAATTAACCATAGTTGTAATAACGACTCGTAGTAGTCGTAGTAAGGCTACCTTTTAGCATGAACCTCCAATGAAACTCCGTATAATCTGTATGAGCTGGTAGCAAACATTTTATATTACCATGGTCATCCAGGTCACCTATGGGATTATCACCATTGCCTATTTCAGAAAAATATTAATAATTAACAAATTAAATATGCAAATATTTTATAAAAAAAAACATATACTGACCACAATCCCTATCATAAATGAGATAATATCCATCTACCGGTGCTTTCGTCACTTTCACCACATGGCTTCCGAAATGGTGACTCATTTTATACCAGTGCTCCGACTGGTCGGGTATTTGACTGAATATATGGTAGTATTTGGCTGTCCGTTGACTTTGATGCCAACCCTCAGCTATAGTACCGTTCCGTCCGAACCAAATGAGAAACTTTGATGTCTTTTGGTTTTGCACCGAATAATAGCGATTCGTCTCAATCGGCAACTCTTCCCCCGTATTCTTGTCGATGAGGGAAACGGCAGTCGCTGTCCATTAAAATTAAATATGAGTTCCCATTATTTAAAATACTATAATATATCGTATTATACCTAGTTTCAATACATTTAATACTGAAATAATAAATATAAGTTTAAGCATGCATAAGTGATACACATTCATTTTGATGTTTTTAGTGATAGCCTAATGCGGGTATAAAATTATTGTTAATAAAATGTATCTTATAATTTAAATTTACTTATATATAAACTTTATATTTGATTAAGGAATGTGAAATAATTATATGCCATACATAGACATGTAAATAAATTTGTGTAATTATTATTTATATTAAATAGACAATATACTATCAATAGCTTATTGTGAGTTTGATGATCTTAACAAATTACATTGAGATTAAATAAGTTACATAATAATTACTTAATTTTTGTTATTGTTTTAAAATTCTAAATAT